CCTATGAATCAGGGACAACAACAGCATTCAGCGAACTACCAACAAGCGGGTCGTTTCGCTGCTGATAATATCCATGCCAATTATGGAGGCGCGCAGAGCACACAAGGTCACATACAAATGGCTGGGCCCGGTGGTAGTAGTCAACCAGAGCAACCAATCTACGCCAACTATCAGGGCTCATCAGGTGGCGCTTACCGACCAAATCAACTGAGACAGCAACAACAACAACAGCAGCAGCAGTACCAAAAACAATCATATCAGCCATATGATGCGCGCCGCGGCTCAGTCCCATCATCCGCCACTTACAATAGCAACAACAACAATTATAATAATTTCGGTGGCGCAGTTGGTGGTGGCAACTTCGACAAAGTCACCACAAATGGTCAGGGCTTCCAAGCGGGCGTTTTGGATTTAGGCACAATGCGTCGTGATAATGTCGACAACGAGCTGCGTCAACATGATGGACAATTCGGTGATAACGGTGGCACCTCTTATGGCTACCAACAAACCTATACACGTCGTGTACGTTCGCCAGCTGGCAATAAGCCTTACTATGGCATGGAGAATGAAGACTATTATGATGAGGAAGCTATCCAGCAATCAGCTGGCCAACACCAATCAAACGCGCGAAATTCTCATGCAACACAGGGACAACAACAACAACAACGTAGCGCCGCTTATCAACAGTCTCAGTCGTCGAGCTCATCCTCCTCCAGCAGTGATGGCCATAAGCAATCATCTTCGTCGTCGTCATCATCACATTCATCCTTTTCATCAGGTTCGCAGTTACGTGAAGACGCAGTCGCGGAGGCCGACGAATTGACGCAGATCGATTGGGTATCACCCTGCAAGGCGGCAAAATGTCAGACGTTACGTTGTGTAGCAAAGAATCTGGCCAAGGATGAGGGCGTTTGGGTGGCGATACGCATGCGTACAGTGGCGAAGACAATGGAGAAATTAGCTGGTAATTTGCCATTAAATGTTTCCACGATGGCTGCGGCGAATGTGACGCGTTTGCCATACATTGGTGAGCCAAAGGTGCCGATCATAAAGACACATGAAATATTCTACAAGTCTGTGCCGGAACCCATACCAGTGCCGGATGTGGTACCGCTGTGGGTGGTGGTTTTGGCGGCATGCGCCGGTGCACTCATTCTATTATTGTTGGTTTATTTACTGTATAAGGTAAGTGTTGTCATGATTATTTTTTTGCTGTTTTACAAAACCTACTTTGCGTTTTCTATTTGATTCTCATTTCGTTAAATTTCCTTTTTCAGTGCGGCTTCTTCAAGCGCAATCGCCCACGTGATCACTCTATGGAGCGGCAGCCACTACGTAACGGTTACCATGGTGACGAGCATCTGTGAGCGCTATCGAGTCCATAAAATGGACCTAATCCCCACCAAATTTCCACCCCTAAACCTGCATATCACTTTTTGATTTTTATTCGACGTTTCAAGGCGGTTTTGCATTGAGATTATTTGTTGTTGTGCGCGTGAACTCTTACGCGATTGTTTGCGGCTAACAAACCACGGTGCTTGCTCAGCCGCATTGTGTGCGTTATGCGATCTTTCGCAGTAACTAACCAAAACGAAGCCAAACGAAATCGAAATTTCTACTCGGCTCCGTGTAAAATTATTTGCTATTTAAACTTTTTTTATAATTAATTTTTAAATATTTTTTAAAAAAGCTACCATACTATCTTTGCTAGTCACGAAATTTATTGTTGCATTTTCTACTCGCCGGAGAGTAAGCGAGAGCTACTGGCTAAGCTAAAATCCAGGCGAATTAAAGAAAGCGCAAGCGCGACAAAAATGTGCTTTTAACATTTTTATCGGAGATTTTAATGTTTAAATTGTAAAAATATACATACTACATTTAATATTAATTAAACAAAAGCAAATAAAATACTATTAATACATAAGTAATACTCTAATGTTGCCTTGTATATGATAAAAACAAAGAGAATACTAAACGCAAACTAGTTATTTCACGTTGTTGTAAAAGCGAAAAGTGCTAATATTAATTTTACTAAAGGCCAAGGCTAATAATTAAAAGAAAAACAAGAAAAAAAACTATTAATATTAATTAAATGTGCGTTTGAGCGTGTGTGTGTGTCGAACTATAAGTGTGTTAGTGTGCGTATAGTACTAGTAAACACTAAGCTAAAAGAAAAAATATTGAAAAAAAATTAAATAAAGTAAAAAAAACGAAACCACGAAATGCGAACTTGTAGTAAATAATTTAACAAATTATGTTAATTATTAATTATTTTTTTAATATTTAATTATTCTTTTAATGTCTACTAACCATAAATGTTATTTGTAAATACAATGTGAAACTGTAAGCATAATTTTATTGGGCTTCAATTAAATGCACTGCCTTTTCTACAAGAAAAACACAACAACAATATAAATTTATGTACACTTCAAGCTGAAAAATTGTATAAAATAAATATATTTATAATAAAAAGAATTGAAATATTGTTAGTTCTACCGAATCTCTTGCTTTATTTAGCATAATCGGCAACCAATAGGCGTATCAAATAACGCTTCAGATGACGAGTGCAGGTTTTATATTATGAAGAATTAAGAAATTCAATTAAAAAGCTGATTTTAATACTAAGCATTATTATTTATATAATTTAAAATTAATATGTTTGCTTTCATTTTATTTTAAGTTTTCTTTTAGCTGGCTTAATTAATTTATTAACTGTACTTATCTATTGCAGATTTATATTTTTTTAAGTTTATAAATAAACATAACGTAAACAAATTTAAATTAATAAAAAAAAATATTTTTGTGTACAAAAACGCATTTTTCTTTGAAATATTTTATATTTAAATATACTATACTGATAAAATGTGGGTTTCCAGCGGAATTTTTCCACAACGTTGCATTACAGCGAATTAAGAGCGCGCTTATCAGCTGTGATCACGCTACAGTGGGATCACGCGAGAATGGGAGAGAGAATTGTTTTTTATTTATTGGTTGGCGATCAATTTGTCAATCGGCTCCATATTTATGATGTTGACATACTTTCTCAAAGCGCAAACTACGTTTTCGAATATTTGCGTCCAATGTGTCGCGGTTACATTTTCGAAGTGTTTTATATAGGTATGTGATTTACTGCAGTACATTAAATTAAGAAAGAAGGCAAATCCTATACATAATCTTTGAAATTTAAATGACGGTTTCAGTCCATACAAATATATTAGAAATTTTGAAAAAGAGATCACAAAAATTGTAACGCTGAAGAGTTTTTTGTTTACTTTTCATTGTACAATAAAAAATTAACCGATTTTTTTGTAAAACATCGCGTTTTTTCTTCCAAGTGGTTCCCAAAAAGTAAAAAAATTAAATTTCGAAAAGTCCCCTGGGTAAAGCGATTATCTGACGACATAATTTTGATTTTTTTAAGTTATATTTAACAGAATATTAACCAATTGTCTTACTATAACCGCCCATCGAGCTTTAAAATTAAATTGAAACTGTTTTATCAAAAAAAATATTAATTATAATAAAAATGGGTCTTGCTTCATACGAATTAATGGCTTTAATTATCCCAATATCCAAGTTCAAGTCAGAAAAAATACGAGTTTTGGATATTTTTTTGAAGAGGCATTATCTTTAATAAATAAATGAAAATAATTTAAATTTGCTTAATTTTACGTACTTCAGTAATCGGTGATTCATTTTGAAAAATCGTAGCTGAACTCCAGGAGAATCTCCGAAAAGAGACATTTGGCGGCGGGAAAGATTTTTCTGCTGAAAATTATTTTAAATCCAAAAGCCACAAAAAAATATAATATTACTACTTTAGATGAGTACAGGTAATGATCGAAGGACTAGTAAAATTTTTGATTATTCACAAAATGACGGCTTTCCAAATAAAACAAATCGATATTTGTGAAAAAATTTACACTTCACTTCAATTATTGTGTAAATTTGATTTCTTCGATCATTATCTGGCAAATGCATAAAAAAAATTTTGAAAACAGCGTTTTGAGAAAAACGATTATAACGTTTTTCGAGCCGAATACACCAAGTTAAAAATTCGTATAAAGACGCTCATATTTTCGAAACTATTCGTCAGATCAAAATATACATTCGATATATGTAGTATATCCAAATAAATAGATCGATGTTTTGAAATCACAAATAATTGTCATCAGAACTCCGTAACTGAGTATTGTGTTTTAAGTATGAGTATATTAAAATATATAGATTTTAAACACGTCCGCATTAAAATTCGCCATTTTTTGCGAATAAAGAAAAATTTATCCATTTCTGAAATAGATGTGTACTGGTATTAAAAAGTATGTCACTTACGATAGTGTCAATGTCGGATTAATATAATTATGCTCAATAAAACCTAACTAAATAAAAACTCAATTTCTTTATGATAGACCTATTACGTCTCTAAAAAGTAGAATAATGGTGTACAATATTCCCCAAAGGAATGCATTCAACAAGTCAATTAAACATCCAATTTTTCTCACTGAGTTCAAGTAAATATGTATATACATAAAAATCAAACTACATATGTATATTTATGTATATGTGCTTCATATAAACAAACAATAAATGTTTACAAATATATTTCTATTTGTTGTAAATAACAACGTGTTTTCTACAATTATTTGTTGACAAATGCCCCACACCACCTCGCCAACCGAGAGCCCTACCAACATACAGTCCAACATTAACCGGCACATTGTGCAAATCCACACAGCTTGTCACTTTCCGGTCTCACGAGCGCTCACAGTTTTATTGCTGAGCATATGCGCTCCCCAATGGCGTTTGTTTAGAGAAGTGACCAAATCGGTTGTCTATTTACATTTATCATGAGATCCAAACGGACCAAATGGCTTCCACACGAATTCGAATAGCTTTATCAGCTACGAATACGAATGCTCCCCGCATGAGATGCGAAGTGAGCTGAATGTGCGCCACTGGAGCGCCAGTCAAGCGTATGCTTATTGCTGCAGCGCCGAGCAAATACAGTTTGCGTGCGGAGCTCGCCAAGGGCGGTTGAAATTGAAATTGTATGCAGAAACGCTTCTCAAGTCCGCGACGCCAAGTTATTGCAAAAGCGGGAGCGCTGGAAATATACTATAATTAATTAGTATATATGCATACATACAAGTGTATGTTTGTGGCAAATAAATTAAATTAAATTGTTTGCTGCTTGGTGTAATCGCAACAGTGTTGCATTTAGTTTCTGCAGCGACAACGGTAATATCTACAGTCAAAGCACTTAAAACTAATTAAGTCTGTGTGAAATGTGCACTCTGGGTTATGCAAAGTAAATTTTCACCATTATAATATTATTTATTAGCATTTCACTCTTTGTACTGCAAGTACAAGTGTTTGACTTCCGTTATGTGATTATGTGGAGCAAATATTTATTTTTAAGTCGACGTTTTGTTAGTGAACAAAATTTTCCGACCTATGCGTCTATTTGTCCCTGCAAATTTTGCCTGGGCATACCGAGTTTGTACCAGCTGCTGTTGCTGCCATTGTGTCTGTGACTGTGTATCTGTTGCTGCCATTTGTGTGGCTGTGTGTGTGTACTTGTATAAAGCTGCTGTAAATCGATTATTCACACTGTGGAACGGAGCACTGTATAATTTTGCTCTCAAGTGTGAAACAACTGAGACGATTTATCAAAGAAATTTATATGTTTTCACTATAAAAAGGTCTGAAATCAGAGTTGTGTGTATAAGTTTAAGAAAAAAGTGAAAAATATGAAAAACGAAAATAATAACAAAATTTAAGCTCCGCCAACTCGTTGATATGCTTTATGTTCTGCAGTTTTTTGTTTTTTAGAGAGTAGCATCTCAGCTGTGCCTAAGCGTTGAATTAAGGTGACCAGATGTGTGTTTTGGCGGTGAAAGTTAAAAAAAGCATCTAAAAGTGAAGTTCTTGTGAATAATAATTTGAAAGAAATCCAACTAAGGTTTTCTTAATATTGGTTCAAAATAAGCGGTTTGATTACGTAAGCCTTTGCATTGTCAAGCAAGACATTAAAAAAATAAATAAATAAAACAACCCGAAATTTAATTGTAATGTTAGCTGATGGTTATAAACAAGAATATAAAAAGCTTTTACTTTAAAATAAGTTTTAATAAATTTTAGGAGACAAAACTAAAAAAAAAACATATACATCGATTGCACTGAAACTGTAATAGGTTCACCGGCCAACGGTTTGCATCCAAGAGAAAAAGTTTTTATAGTTCTTTCTAGCCAAGGTTGGTTGTATACCTTTAAATCAAATTAAGCTTACTTCACAAGGAAAAAAGATATTTATCCTTATTTTATTTGGTTATTTTTTATGTCAGCTATATGCTATAGTGATCGGATCTGAACATATTTAAGGGTGGCTTTCGACAATACCTGTGCTCATGAAGATATCTTGTGAAACAAAAGAGTTTCTCATACAAGAACTTGATTTTGATCGGTCAGTTTAGTTTTATTATGGCAGCTCTATGCTATAGTGGTTCTACCTGAACACTTTGTTCACAAATAGTAGTGTTGCATTAGAAAATATTATATGCCAAATAGCATAAAGATAATTTGTCAATTAAACAATCTTTCTATACAAGGACTTGATTTTGAACTATCAGTTGGTATGGCAGATATATCCTGTAGCATAATATATAAACTGATAGACTAGTTCCCGCATATATAGACGGATAGTGCGAACTTAATATAGCCTGTTGAGGGTGTACAACTGTCCATTATCTCAGTTATGTATATACCCAATATTTTTCAGACATATTTCTTTCAAAAAGGAACGAAATATCATTTAAACAATTTCCCACTCTATATCTGTTTAATTAACAGTATATTTCCATGTTACAGGATAATAGATGGTGGTGGGCTATAACCTGAACTCTTTTTTATGCCTAAGGCTGTCGGAAATAAAAAAAATTCATGGAAGAAAAACATCAATGTTACTTGTAAATGGTGGTTCAGCGATGAATACTGCGAAGATAAAAGTTTGGTTATAGAATCACTATCACATATGTACATAAGTACCTATATGGAACTTAGCATCCTTAGAGATTTTTGTTTGAAATCTAAAATTTTTAATTCCGTTCTGTTTAATATAAATTGCTGAATTTTCATATATTATACATTGGAATTGTTTTCCAGACACATTTACTATCTAGCAAATTATCAGCAGACAGTAGAAACCAAAATCAATTAGTTTAAACATTGTTAAATACATATCAGTATACTATGTTCAGAAAAAAGTCATAAGCTTTATATAAACTAATATCGGCCATTTACCACTTTTTATCACAAAACCATAATCTCTATGGCCGTCAATAATTTTTGATACAAAAACAATTTGATTATTTGCAGCAATTTCTTTTTGTAGACGCTCGGAATTTTTGTAAGTCTTTTGGAGAGGTTAAAAACTGAATGAACTCTTTTACGTTTATCTTAATTAAAGATAGTAAAATCAATTTAATAAACAAACACAAAAACATATGTGTATGGACAAAGAGGAAAGAGGTGATAAACGTGAGTTGGGCACATTCTTGCAGGTTTTTTATTAGCCACATGTCTGAGATACCATTAAGTGAATGTACGGATATATATAATCGTATAAACAAAGAAAATACGAAAGTCATAAATAATTCAACATGAATAGCTTTACAGAAATTGTAAGAGATAAACAAATAATTGCAAAAATTAAATGAATTAAGAAGAGGAATAAATAACTTATTAGCATACATTTATGTTTATATAGATAAATATGTATGCAAGTATATACATACATATATATTTATTTATATTTGTATTAAAAATTTACGACTTTCGTTTTGTTTGCTTATAATTAAAATTTATTTTGTTTGCTGACGTCTGGTTACCTGCTGCGCAAATTAAATCCAAAGCGCTGCAGGCGCATTCTTCATTGTAAGAGAGAGAGAGAGAGAGAGGGATAGTCTCGGAAGCGCTCAACAGCTGGCGCGTGGCGCACAATCAAAGTAGCGCTCTCTTATGTTCCAAATGATTTGCATTTATGGCTTACATCAAATAAAGTGGAGCAGTAGTGGAGCTGATAAATAAATACACACAAGCTTACCAATATATATATGTACATATGTATGTATGTATTTATATATGCAGAAACGCACAAACACACACATAAGCCACACTGTTGAATTGCGCGTGGAGCGCAAGGTCATCTCGATGTTGCAACCATGATCTTCGACCAACTCAAAAACTACAACAAAAGCAACTGGTTAACAGAGCTGCATTCAACTTGCAAAAAGTATATATTTTTTGTAAAACTAAAAATATTCGATTGAGTAACTGTTTGCTGAGTAAAAACCCAGCAAATAAAAATATAATTCTCACACCCACATATACAAGTATTATACCCTGAAAATGGTATACTAAGTTTGACACGAAGATTATAACACACAGAATAAAACGTTAAAGATACTATATAAATATATATATGAACGTTCAAAGTGATCAGCCACGTTGATTTAGCCATTTCCCTCTGTCTCTCTATATATACACGAACTAGTCCTTTTCTCCTCAAGAAGCTGCTCATTTGTCGGGTACCGCCCATAACGGACCACTATAGAATATAGCTGTCATACAAACTGACTGATCAAAATCAAGATAAAGATCTTTTTATCCCTTTTCAGCTGTAAGAAAAGCACATGTGAAAGGTTTTATAGCTTCGGTGTTAATGTTATTTTTTTGTTGTCATGCAGTTCCTTCTGATTCCGCTTAGATAATACACTTGTTTGTAAATCTTAAAGGTCCGCTGAGCTCACACCCTTTTGTTGTCAACGCAAATATTTTGCATATCACTCGCCATTTTCACACAAATAACTAAAGTAACGCAGACATACTTACAACAACAAAATCTCGCGATTGCACTAATCACTTGACATATGAATTATCGAACGGTTTATTGAATTAAGGCCAGCCACAAGTTATTTCACGGAATTTCATTTACTCGCGTATTTATGATACCCATAAAATAATTTACACTTTAGCTTCGCTAATTTAGATTCGCTAATTTAGCTTCGCTAAAAGTTTCACAAACGACCATGTTCAACTATTATGTGGTTTTATCCACTGGAAGTTGAGATAAAACTTGTTTTTTCGTGAATTCATGGTAACTTGATTCAAATGTTTTTATATCAATTAAGAAGTTTCTAAATAATTTCCAGAAGAATTTTTTAACGCTATAATATTGTCTCTCAATAGCCTAAATTCCATACATATGCACACTGCAGACTGCGAACCCAGTCAAGGTGCCAAAGAGGTTGCTAGGGGTTAAAGCATCCATAGTCCACTGTATGGTAAGAATCGCACTGTTCGAAGCACAAGACAAATCGTGGAAACTATAGTGAATCATAAAATGGAATTTTGCCTACAAATCGGTAAAATCTTTTAAAGCAAATGAAGTTTTCAGCTTGTCAAAAAATTGTTTTGTGCGACAGCTATTCTGATGCCTTTGAAAGTGCTTCAGAAGTTATATTAATGGATAACATCATATTTCCTGTCGTACCGATAAAGGTTAGAAACAATCCTCAAACACAAACAAATTAAAATTGACAAGCAAGGTACAAAAAAAAATATATATATGATGCTATTTGCATAGTACAACATTTTAATTAATTCGAATCTATAATTTAATTTATAAAATATTTTAAATATTCTTCTAATTTAGTTTGACTTTAACACTTTGCCCTAATATTGCCTAGCAATATTGTTTTTATATCGTTAAGATAGATAAAGTAAAACTTGCGCGCTGCAAATGTTAAAGTTCAAATCCATTTCCTAGCTGAACAATGCATGCACTTTATATCCATTGAATAGAACTGTAAAATGATTGTCTCTGCCAGCTAAGCTCTTTTGTTTCTGCTCTTTTTCCGATGACTTTTCACACTGGCGCCTTTTATACTGGCACGGAAAATGAAAACGACTTTTTGTATTTATCTTTGTATGTGTGCACATTTCCTGTTGCATTAAATCGATTGCGATTGACCAAGGTCTCAGTTCAGCATTTAATTTTGTTGTTGCGCGTAGATAATAGCTACACAAGGGACTACAAAAAATAAACCAAAACCAATAAAAAACAAGAATAAAACGTTAACTTCGGTTACACCGAAGCTAGAATACCATTCAGCAATAAAAAAGGTTTACATACAAGAAGTATAACAAATATACTATTTCATACAGTTTCTATAACAACTATATATAATGATATAATATATATATATATATATATACTTGTATATATATAATATATAACTATAATGATGCAATATCGGTGGTTCCAACAAATAAGCAGTTTCTCAAAAACTGAGGAACTAGTTCGCGTATAGACAGAGAGGCGATCATCGACACAAATCGCCTCAGCTCGTCACTCTGATCATTTATATACTCGTATGTATATACTTTATAGGGACTCTGACGTTTCCTTTTGGGTATTAGAAACGCCGTGGCTAGTTCAATATGTTCTGTTCAGACTATAATAATAATAATGTGGAGTATTCGCTTTGCGATTAAAATTTGTGATAGTGTGTAATACCTATGCAAGAGAGTATATGAGAGCGAGTGCCTCTTAACGTTATTTGCGGTTCGAACGGTAGCTAATATGAATTTATTTACCGATAAGTTATGATTACTATTTAATTGCTTGTTCAAAATAATTGTACTTGAATGGACTTCGTTCATATTTTACGACTATACTAATTTAAAGGCGTTTTCTTTAGTCATTAGAGTTGTGCTGGGTCAAAAGCCCGTTATTGTAGTGAATAAAAATTAAAAATTTCTTTAATTTATAAAAACATGAACTGAATTTTTGTTAATGTTGTAATTTTGCTTTAATTTCTGTAAAACTCAAACAATAATTCTTCAAAAAAATTATTTAATTCTGATCTTTATAGAGGTAGACAGTGTCACGCATGTTTAGTCACTTGATGAATTTAATATATCGTTCAGTTTTTTGAAGTGCAATAGTGATCGATTATTAATATAGGAGCAGTTAGTTGTCTAAAATTTTAGCAACATTTTGAAATTATCTTAATTTCCACTTTTTCCTAAGGACAAAATAATCCCTTTTTAAGAGTGAACATTGGTCACAAACACACCTAAATTTTTTCTGGATCAGGCTTTCGTGAAAGCAGTATGAACTTTATACTAAGCTGTTGGTATATTGGTTTTGTTGCTGCTTAAGGTACGAGATATAAAAATGAACTTGTTTTAA